GCTGCCACCCACACGACCCAACCAGGGCTGGGGACAAACTGCAACCAAGGTACGTGCCCCTAGTGGGAACCGAACCCAGGTCTCTCCGGACCGCAGGCCGAGGCTCTAACCACTGAGCCAAACCGGCCAGGGCAGGGACGGTCTTTGCCGCAGAAATCTAGGCTCCCCACTCAGCCTTTGCTGCCGGGGGTAGGGGTGGGCCTTTGGGTTTTTCTGGAGTGGAGCAGTTATTGCCTGAAAGACTCTGTCTATCGCCCGGCTGGTGTGGCTCAGTGGTTGAACATCGACCCATACACTAAGAGGTCACCAGTTCAATTCCCGGTCAGGGCACGTGCCCAGGTTGTGGGCCAAATCCCCAATGAGGGGCATGTAGGAGGCAGCCAATTGATGTTCTCTCTCATCGATGTTTCTCTCTCTCTCTCTCCTTCTCTCTTCCTCTCTCTAAAATCAATCAATAATAAAAAATTAAAAAAAGACTCTGTCTATCTAGACTGCCCTTTTCCTGGTTGTTTGGCTAGAAGGGCAGGATTTTGCTGAAACTTTTTTAGTCTGTGCCCATTGGTATTTCCAGTTGCTGGCTTCTCCAGAATTCAGTCTGGGATATATGAAGCAAAGAGGAGACCCATGGCATTCATGGCCATGTCATTCCTCAGGTCCTGAGGTCCCTAACCAGTGGTTTCCCTTCCAGAGTCTTCTTATGCTTGTTTCATAATGTGCAGGGTTTATCACTGTACTTAGAAGAAGAAATAGGAGAAAGGACACCTACCCCGTCATCTCAGACCTGTGTGCAGTATTTTCGCCATACCGTCTTTGCCGCAAGCATTTGTGCCGCATAATTAATTGACCATAAGGCAATTTTGCCATAAAAAGATAAAATAACTGGTTGACAGTTTGTGGGTTTGTTTTTTTTTGTTTGTTTGTGTTTTTGGTTTCGTTCCTTATTGGCTAATCCATCAACCACTGTAAAAAAATAAAATAACTGATTGACAGTTTGGTGTTTTTATTTGTTTGTTTGGTTTCATTTCTCCATTGGCGAAGCTTTCAGCTACTTGTATTGTTGTATTATAAATAAATCTTAGCTAGCTCTCACAGTGGCCTGTACAATGATGAGCAGACATGGTACTGGTCTTAAAATAGTTAGCATTTTGTTTAGCCAGTTTGGTTCAGTGGTTGGAGTGTCAGCCCTGGGACCAAAAAGTCTCGGGTTTGATTCTGGTTAAGGGCACGTACCTCAGTTGCAATTTTATCCCCAGCTCTGGTTGGGGTTGTGCAAGAGGCAACTAGTGTCTCTCTCTCTCTCTCTCTCCCCCCCCCCCCAACCCCTTCCTCCCTCTCTATCTGAAAATCAATGGAAAAGTATCCTCGGGTGAGGATTAAAAAAACAAAAAACAAAAATAGTTAGCATTTCTTCCAGGTGATGATTTGCCTGAAGAGTTGGTTCCTTATTTTGTTTTATTTATTTATTTATCCTCACCCGAGGACATTTTTCCATTTTATCTTCAGATAGAATGGAAGGGAGAGAGAGGGAGAGAGAGAGAGAAAGAGAGAGAGAGAGACATTGACATGAAAGAGACACATCCACTGGCTGCCACCCACACAACCCCAACCGGGGCCGGGGACAAACTGCAACCGAGGTACGTGCCCTCAACGGAAACCGAACCCGGGTCTCTCTGGTCCTCGGGCCGAGGCTCTAACTGCCTCCTGCACACCCCCTGCTGGGGATTGAGCCTGAAACCTGGGCATGTGCCCTGACCAGGAATCGAACCGGGACCTCTCAGTCCATGGGACAACACTCAATCCACTGAGCCACACTGGCCGGGCTTTATTTCCTAATTAATGTCTAGCAGTAGTAGTGCCAGAGTGAAGATTTCCCAGCAGCGTCCCTTATCATCTGTAGGATACGCGTGGCTTTGCCTGTCGTCCAGGTCTGGTCTCAAACACTCTCGTACCAGACACCTGATGAAAGTGGTGAGGTTTGAGTCTTCAGACGTTCCCATTCAGTAACCCTCCACATAAGTTACCTTCTTCTTCTCTGATCTCTGTGCTCTTCTCCCCCCTGGGGGCTGCTGACGCATCGATATCAGTGGTCAGATTCCCGCCCTTTCAAGCCTACGGAGGGAGAGGGACGGGATGAGAAGAACCGGGTGGCGAAACTGAACCCCACACACGTTGACCTGTGCCCTTTCCTGCAGGCTGCTTGGATGTTATCATCAGCGTTTCCTAAGGCCTGGATACAGGGGAAGTGGTGGAGGAGCCTTCCTTGAAACCCATCTGATGTGGCAACTCCATCCACTGAACCGAAAAGCTGAGCAAGCTGACTCCACGCCCAGATCCCCTCGTTGCCTCTTCTCCCCACTCTGCAGCCCGTCGTGCCTCTTAGTTACCCTCAGGGCCACAGAGAGGCAGGAGGTGTGGCCAAAGAGGGTGAAAAGCAGTTGCTGGAGACCTCGCTGTGTTTCCCCCTCTCGCTTTCAGATGCTGCCGGGATCTCTGAAAAGGGAAGACACCAGGAAACAGGTAAAGACGATTTTGTTTTCTTTGGCCATCAACAAGCAAGCATGGAGCAGCTCTGGTGTGCCAGGCCCGCTTCCCGGGGCTGCTGGCACAGGGGGACCCTCTCGCTCTCGTGCTATGTGACAGCAGATTGCAGAGCCCTGTCTTGGAGCATCTCCCTGCTGGGCTTGGTGAGGCTTCTGGAAATAGGATGGGTCCCTGGGTGCCCAAGAGGGGAGAATGAACTCACGGAGGCTGCCTCTGAGGTCCTGTAGGCCCTGGCGAGGCCTGAGTCTGTGTGCCTGATGCCCACTGCCCCTAGCCCCCCCACTCCACCTGGAGCCTGCTGCTTGTGCCCCGAGACCTTCTGGAGCTCCTCCGGTAGTCACACAGACTCTATCACTCCTCCAGGGAGTCTTTAGCCAGTTCTCAGTGAGGGTGTGGCTTCTGGCTGCTGGTAGACGGACCACAGGGGCCTGGCTACTGGAGGCCGGTCTTTGCATGGAATCTGGCCCTTGCCACAGACCTGGTGGAAACTGAAAAGGGATCCAAAGTGCTTCTCTCGAAAACACTGACCCTGCAACCCTGCCAAGTTGTTCGTGGAACATAGTTGCCACGGCCAAAGAAGTCCACTCTAAGTCCATGTTGGGAGATGCACGACACACAGCGTTGATTAAAGGCTTTGCAAAGACCTGCAGTCAAGAGTCTTATTTAACTTTTGAAAACCCAGCTTCCCTCAGATAGATCCGGCCTGGAGGACTCTTGTGTGTAACGCTATTCGCACCTGCAGAGCTGGGCACCAGCTCAGACCCTCACCCCTACTCCCTGCCTGGGCCAGGCCAGCACAGCCCCTGCGCCTGGGGACAGACCCTTCCTCCTTTCGGCAGGCAGCGTAGCTTTCCCCACACCAGGCACTGGAGACCCAACAGCCTTTGGCAGAAGCTGCAGAGCCAGGGGGCGGGGGCGGGGCGCTGATGTGTGGGAAATGCTGGCTGGGCCGGTGTGAGGGGCACAGATCTGTGCTGAGAACGGAGATACACTCTGTGGACACATCCTGCCTCGCTTCCTGGGGGGAAGGCGCTGAGGGCACAGCTATGCAAATCGGTACTTAAATTTAACTCTATTTAAATATAACTTTGTAAAAGTATAGGAAGGTGGTGGGCCAGCTCACTAGAGAGAGAGAGAGAGGCAACAGTTGCACATTGGCAGCCCTTGGACTGTCTCTAGTCTACAGACAGGATGCTTGTTTATTTTTGAAAGCAGGACTTTATACATGGCAATCTGGCTTCTTACACCTCTTAAAACAGTAGCGGATCAGGCAGTGCTGAGCCCACATTCCCACTTGGCAACAGTTGGCTAGACCCAGGACCACCTGGACGCTTTATGTTTCCTACCCAGCCCCTGGGGCATCTGAGAGGGGCCCTTGGACCACATTCTCCTAAGTCCTGTCAGACCCCTTTAAATGCTCTCCTGATATCATACTTAATGGTTGGTTTTAAAGTTATTTTTTTCCTGGTCTTTAAAATCAGGTTTTGGCAATGTCTCTCCCCTCTATAAAGCCTTTCACTAGTTTCCTAGGACCTGGCCTGAGAGCTGGGCAGGAAGTTTATGCAATTGTGGATGGGTGGATGGATGGATGGATGGATGGATGGATGGATGGATGGGTGGGTGGATGGATGGATGGATGGATGAGTGGGTGGGTGGGTGGGTGGATGGATGGATGGATGGATGGATGGATGGATGGATGGGTGGGTGGGTGGTGGGTGGATGGATGGATGGATGGATGGATGAGTGGGTGGGTGGGTGGGTGGATGGATGGATGAATGGGTGGGTGGGTGGATGGATGGATGGATGGGTGGGTGGGTGGGTGGATGGATGGATGGATGGATGGATGGATGGATGAATGGGTGGGTGGGTGGGTGGGTGGATGGATGGATGGATGGATGGATGAATGGGTGGGTGGGTGGGTGGATGGGTGGATGGGTGGGTGGGTGGGTGGGTGGGTGGGTGGGTGGGTGGGTGGGTGGATGGATGGATGGATGGATGGATGGATGAGTGGGTGGGTGGGTGGGTGGATGGGTGGATGGATGGATGGATGGATGGATGGATGGATGGATGGATGAATGGGTGGGTGGGTGGGTGGGTGGGTGGGTGGATGGATGGATGGATGGATGGATGGATGGATGAGTGGGTGGGTGGGTGGGTGGGTGGGTGGATGGGTGGATGGATGGATGGATGGGTGGGTGGATGAATGGGTGGATGAAAGGAAGGAGTGCTGGAAAGAGAGAGAGGCTAGTCCAACATGGTTATCAACTGATGAGAGCCCAGAGAAGGTCCCATGTGCATCCAGAATCCCACATCCCACCACGAACCAGACATGGGCTTCCTGGGATCGGGGACGAGGGGTCGGAGCTCATTGGACGAGTAAGAAAAGCTGTCTGAAAGAAGCGACCAGATGGCTCAAAGACACACTCTTTCTGCTCCAGGCTCCCGCCTAGACACACGCCATGCATCTCCTCGGCCCCTTGTTCCTGCTCCTCGGTAAGGACGGTGGCCTGGGCTGGTGCTTGGGTGCTGAGGTGACTGTGGAGTTGGAGGAGGAGGAGCAATCTGGGACAGAAGAGCAAATGTGGGGTAGGGTCAGGCAGTGACAGATGTGCATATATGCTTCTCTCTTTGTCTCTCTCACCCTCTCTCTTCAGAGGGGATTCTTTACTCCTTTGAAAGAGCTCCATGCTCCTCAAGGATGCTTTCTAATCCCTGTGGTGGGTTTCAGGTTACTTGGCTTCTTCTGACTCACAAGTTTGGAAATTTGAGCACCCGAAAATCCTCTACGCCTGGGAGGGGTCCTGCATCTGGATTCCCTGCCGCTATACATTCACAGGGAATAGAGATACCCCGAAAAACCTGACTGTGTACCAGCATTATAACTATGACGACAAGGCCAAGAACTACAATGGGACAATCCTCTACGAGAGTATAGGCATGACGGTGCCTGTCCCTCAGGGAAGAGTACAGTTCCTGGGAGACAGCAGATCCAACTGCAGCCTACTCATTCACCCTGTCAAAGCCCAAGACAGCGGTAATCTGGGGCTGAGGATGACATCTGGGACAGGTAGCAAATGGATGCAGAATATAGACCTCAATGTCTCCAGTAAGTCCCTGGGGATGGTGTCCTCTGCCTTGGGCACGGGCAAGGGAGGCAGTGGGAGACACCAACGCCTGGGCCAGGGGCTGAGAACCAGGCCACCTGCGGAGGCCAGGCAGGGGTGCCGGCGAGTGACTCAGGCAGCACACGACAACGGGGTGCTGGTGCAGTGTGAGCGCTGGTCCCTCCTCAAGCATCCCCCCTGCCACGCGGCCTCCACCCGTTCCGGAATCTCAATGCGAGGTTACCTGATTTTTCAAGAGAAGATAAAACTTGAGGTTTTTTCTTGTTTGTTTGTTTGTTTTTATCCTCACCCAAGAATATTTTTCTATTTATCTTCAGGTTGAGAGAATGGGAGAGAGAGAGAAACATCAATGTGAGAGGGACACATTGGTTCATTGCCTCCCGCACAACCCCGACCAAGGCCGGGGACAAACGCAACCGAGGTATGTTCCCTTGGCCGGAATCGAACCCAGGACTCATTGATCCGTGGGCCGGCGCTCTAATCGCTGAGCCAAACTGGCCAGGGCAAAAACTCAAGATTTTTAACTAAAGTCTTATGATGTGGTCATGTTGGTGATGAACTCTAATTGGCCCTTCATAGCTAAATGACACATGTGGCGGGGGTGGATTAAACACGGGTCTCAGGCCTTCACCCAGGGAATGAGCTCACCCCGTTGCATAGCCTGTCTTTGGTGGGTGGTTCTAGGCGCCCTCTGTTTGGGGTAAGAGAGGTGGCTTCAGACCCTGCAGTCTGAGGGTGGCCTGGGAGAGCTGCAATTGGCTGCCCACAGTCCTGCTCTACTAAAGGAACCCCCTAAAGGAATGCTGTTTGGGGTGCCTCCCATAGGGAGCCATTACACAACGCGGACCTGTCAAGAAGCTAAGAAACGCGCGTTGAACAAAACTGGTAACATTCGCTGAGGGGTGGTGGAGAGAGTGACCTTGAAAACTGTGGAGAGCACACACTTGCGAGCGAGAACGAAATGAGCACAAACTATGACATGTAACCCGTAGGGAGGCTGGCTCGGCAAGACCTTGCAGAGGGCGCTTCTGCTGAGCTACCGTGATGCAGAGAAAGGCCTGGAGAGGGGGGCAGGGCTGGTCCGGGGTGCCTGGCAGGTTCTTGCGGGCAGGCGTCTGAAGCCGGTGGAAGAGGCTAGTGCACAGTGGCCGTCCGCCTTCCAGGCCACCAGCCCGGTCCCTCCTCTTTTGCAGAGACGGCCCCTCCACCTCACGTTGAGCTCCCTTCGGACATCCAGGAGAACCAGAAAGTCATTCTGACCTGCTGGCTGGATTTTTCCTGCCCTGAGTACCAGATAAAATTGCAGTGGTCCCTGGAGGATTCAGAACTTCCCACTGACGTCCCCTCGACTTCCCTGACCACCACGACGGTCTCCACCCGGAGCCAGCTCACATTCTGGCCTCAGTGGACCCACCACGGCAAGAACCTGGCCTGCCAACTCCGGAAGGACGGGGCGGACGGGCTGCTCTCTCGGGAAACGGTGCGGCTCGATGTGAAGCGTGAGTCTCTCCAATGCTCCTATGGGATGGATGAGGGACTTGTCCTCTTCTCCTGACACCTCAGTGAGCGTCCAGGGTAGCAGGAGCCTCCACAGAAGGAAGCACAGTCAGTCTGTGGGCCCCTGAGGCGGAGAATGGTCCCGGCTGAGTTGGGTTCCCTCCCCCACCATCCCTGTTGTCAGCCCTGGTGCGTCAGGATTCCTTTTAGCATCTCCTTTGGTCTTAATGGAATAAAATATTTTCATCTCTTCTCAAGCCAGGCCATGATTTGGGGATCCTCTGGTTAGGTTTTATTGTTCTTCTCTGAGGAGAGGAAGGGAGGGATTTTTTTTCCACATCATTCATTCATTCGTTCAATAGATATTTGTTGCAAACCTACCAGGTGCCAGGCCTTACGGCTGCCAGGGAGACAGTCCTTGCCCACGCGGAGCTAGCATCGCCGTGGGAAAGGCAAACAAGACAGAGATCCACCAAGAAAGGGAGAAAATAGCAGTAGGCAGTGCTAAGTGTATTAGGGGGAAACCAAGCAGGGCTTGGACAGAGGGGGTGAGAGAGGGAGACTTCGGGGAGGCCGCTGAACTGGGGCTGAGACTTGAGTGAAGGGAGGAACTGAGGCAGGCAGATATTTTCCAGAAGATTCCAGGAAGAAGACCAAGTGTTGAGGTAGGAACTTGGTGTGTCTGTGACCACAAGCAACGGACCACAGAGCCCTGGCACTGTATCTGAGAGGCCCAGGGTAGGAAAGGATGGTTGAGTGGGACCAGGTCCCTGGAGCCTGTGGGCAGCCGGCGGGGTTTGGGAATTTACTCCAACAGTGGACTCCACTGAATGGCTTCAAGCAAGGGAGAGCCAAGGTCTGCTGGACAGTGTTAGGAGTGTCGCTGGCTGCTGGTGGAGACCGGACCTTCGGGGACAGTTGCCAGCCTGTTGACCAGGGTAACAGTGAGTGGCTGCTCACCCCGACGTGCTATCCGCAGGCCACTGCTTTAGAAGAAGAGAAAGCCTGGCGACTTCGCATTACTTTACAGCCTCTGAGAGTTCCCTGTCCCCTCCCCCATTGTCCCTCTGCTCCTCCAGACCGCCCCAAGTTGAAGACCGAGGTCATTCTTGGAGAAGCCACTGTAAAGTTGAAGACCGAGGTCCGTCCTGGAGAAGCCTATGTGACGGAGGGCGAGTCTGTGACCATGACGTGCCAGGTCATCAGCAGCCACCCAGAGTGCCAGTCTCTATCCTGGCGCAAGGATGAAAAGGTCCTGAAAAAGCAGGAGCCACCGCAGAGGGAGAAGACGCTCGTACTAGCTCTGTCCAGAGTGACCAGGTGGATGGGTGGGAAGTACCGCTGTGAGGCCCACAATGAAGTAGGCTCGGAAGTCTCAGAAGTGGATCTCCAAGTGCACTGTGAGCCGCCTGGGAGCCGCCAAAGGGCCGGCAGGGAGTCGGCAGGGTGGAGCCAAGGCCCTTAGGAGGTCAGCACAGGGGCTCTGCATGACTCCCCCGCTTGTCTCTGCTCCTTTTTCCAGATGCTCCGGAACCTTCCGAGGTTCAGATTCTCCCCTCACCAGCTCCGGAGAGAAGCACAGTGAAACTGACCTGTCTATCACAGGCCAATCCTCCTCCAACAAATTATACCTGGTATCACAATAAGGATACACTATGGGACAAGACAGACAAGTCCTTTCAGATCCCAGAGGTCCTCCTCAGTCACGCTGGGAGTTATTCCTGCTTGGCACAGAACAGTCTCGGTCTTGGACAACTTGGTCAGGCAGCTGAGTTGGATGTCCAATGTGAGTAGTCGCGGAGCCTCCGGGCTCTGGAGGGAGAAGGCGGCAGTGGGCAGAGGAGGCAGGCAGGCGAGTGCAGGGAATGGCTGGGTCCGAGGACAGCCAGCCAGCAGAAGCCAGGTCTCCAGACACGCGAGCCTCTTGGGGCAGCCGTTCTGCTATTGGTCACAATTGTATCCTCAGCACCAGAACAGGGCCTGGCTGGCGGTAGGTGCTCAGCAGATGTTTATTGAACGAATAAACTGCATGATGCCAAGCCCCAGGAGAGACATAGAGACTTGATGTCACTAGTCAGTGAGTAGCTGAGTCCCAGAAGGTGTCCTGAAGTTTCCGAGAAGAACTGGGGCAAAATGTGTCATGCCCTCTCCATCATCAGACCCTGTTCAACCCAGCAAATCTTGTCACTGAGTCAGGCCCAGGACAAAGAGAATCTCTAGTTGGTTTTTTTTTAAATCCTCACCCGAGGACATTTTTGCTTTTATCTTCACATAGAGCGGGAGGGAGAGAGGGAGGGAGAGAGAGAGAAACATCGATGTGAGAGAAAAACATCGAGTGGTTGCCACCCACAGGACCCCAACCAGGGCCAGGGACAAACTGCAACCGAGGTACATGCCCTTAGCGGGAACCAAACCCCGGATTCTCTGGTCCACGGGCCGATGCTTTCACCGCTGAACCAAACTGGCCAGGGCGAGAATCTCTAGTTTTTATCCTTGGACCCTGGAACATTATCATCTGGGCCAAATATGCTGATGGGAACGCCCAAAGCCTGAACATCTAGACAGCCCCAGATAAGTCAGCATCCATGTTTATTGAGTGTGTACGATGCACCACATCTTGTTTTGTCCTGGCAACAAGTCCACGGGGTTGGGTTCTCTTAGGGTCTCTTTTGACAGATGGGTAAACTGAGGCCTGCAGCTCATGGTCACGCAGCTCTCAGTGGTAAGGCCCGGCAGTCTGGCTCCAGAGCTGTGCATGTTGTTGTTATTGACCCTGGGCGGCAGCCGCGTGGCTATGTGCCCAGACCCTGGCAAAACCCCACAAATAGCACCGTGTGTTCTCTGTCCAAGCTGTGTTCTTTTTCTTTTTTTTAAATATTTTTTTTTTTTATCCTCATCCAAGGATATTTTTCCATTTTTTGCACAGATAGAGTGGGAGGGAGAGAGAGAAAGGGAGAGAGAGAGCGAAACATCGATGTGAAGGGACACATCGAGTGGCTGCCACCCGCACGACCAACCAGGGCCGGGGACAAACTACAACCGAAGTACATGCCCTTAGCGGGAACCGAACCCGGGTCTCTCCGGACCGCAGGCCGACGCTCTAACCGCTGAGCCAAACTGGCCAGGGCTCTTTTTCTTTTTTTCGTAAATAAGTGTTCCTTTATTGATTTGAGAGAGAGAGAGAGAGAGAGAGAGAGAGAGAGAGAGAAACATTGATGAGACAGAACATGATTGGCCGCCTCCTGCATGCCCCCCACTGGGGATCGGGCCCACAACCTGGGCATGTGCCCCGACCGGGAATCGATCTGGGACCTCTTGGTGTGTGGGTTGATGCTCAATCACTGAGTCACACCAGCTGGACCTGAGCTGTGCTCTTAACCACTACACCATCCTGCCTCGAAGCACAGCCAGGCCAAACAAGAAGGGCAGGGTTTTTGCCCTCAAGAGGGAAGCTGAGCCTTCCTGTGGTTAATCTAGGGACTGTGTGGATGCAGGGGACAGGGAGGAGGGACAGAGGAAGCAGGAAGGAGCCGGTGTTATGAACAGCTGGCTTTTCTTCACCCATTTCTCTCATTTTCTCCCAGATTCCCCCAAGGAGGTAACCACGGTGATTCAAAACCCCACACCAATTCGAGAAGGAGACAACGTGACCCTGTCCTGTAGCTATACCTCCAGCAACCCCCGCGTTACCAGATATCAGTGGATGCCCCAAGGCTCCTGGAAAGAGCTATTACCTGGGGTGGTGATGATTCAAAGAGTTCCCTGGAATGCCGTGCCCTTCACCTGTGCAGCCTGTAACCAGTGGTGTTCATGGGGTCGCCCCGTCAGCCTGCAGGTCCAGTGTGAGTGACCTGCGCAGGGGCATCTGGGAGGTGGCTCAGGTCGAATATGGGGCTCTAAGGGCGAGGAGCCTGGAGCCTGGCCCAGAATCTTCACAGAGAACTGAGGGATAAGAGTCAGGTCTCAGCAGCAAGGGGAGAGGAAGTCCTGGGGACAGGAAAGGGTCAGACTGAGGTCAGACAGAGGTCAGACTGAGGCCCTTGCTTTGCAGATGCCCCCAAAGGCGTTGAGATCCTGCTGTTTAGCCCCCATTCTGAGATTCAGTCTGGGCACTCCGTCCTCCTCCAGTGTAACTTCTCAAGTAGCCATCCCATGGATGTCCGCTTCTTCTGGAAGAAAAACGGAACCTTTCTGAAGGAAGGAAGAAAACTGAGCTTTGACTCCATCTCTCCAGAAGATGCCGGGACTTACAACTGCTTGGTCAACAACTCCATAGGACAGAGCATGTCTGAGGCCCGGGTGCTGCAAGTGCTATGTGAGTGGCTGGAGCCGGACGCCAAGGGCAGAGAAGGGCAGGTGACTGGCTCCCCGGATCCTGACTTTGCTTGTCCTTCCAGATGCACCTAGGAGGCTACGGGTGTCCATCAGCCCTAACGACGGAGTGACAGAGGGGAAGAAGGCAGTCCTGACGTGTGAGAGCGACGCCAACCCGCCCGTCTCCCACTACACCTGGTTTGACTGGAATAACCAAAACCTTCACCATGATCACCAGACGCTGAGACTGGACCCTGTGAAGATCCAGCACTCAGGCGCCTATAGGTGCAAGGGATCCAACCACCTGGGTGTGGACCAGTCGCCCCCCAGCACCCTCACTGTCTACTGTAAGGCCCCTTCTCTCTTCTTCTCTGGCCTTGGCCACCCCTGTGCCCCGCCCCCAGGCTGTGCATTCCAGACCACTGACCCCTTCTCCCCGCCCCCCTCCCCTGCCAGGCCAGCCCAACCTGTGTGCTCAAAGGCACCCCCTGCTCCACACAGCTCCCCTGGCTCCCCGCCTTCCCACCCAGTCTCCCGGACTCTCTCCAGGGGGATCCCCTCTCCGGCAGCGTCCACCCACCACACATCCTGCGCTCCCACTGGGTCCCTCTGTCTGTCTCTCTCCGTCTCACCCTTGTTTCTATCTTTTGAAACTTAAGTGTGTGTGTGTTTTAAAAGACTCTACAAGTCCATGGTAAAAGATTCAATCAGCAGGAAAGGATAAATAGTGGGAATACAGACACCGCTCCTTTCTGGCCCCCTGAGAGCTCTGTCCCTCCTTCCGAGCCTTCACGGGGGGCAGTTTCCCGTGTCCTCGGAAAACCTTGTACAATGCGCGCCATACACCTGCGTGGACGCGCCCTTAGCTCCGGGACGGGGGTGGGGCTCACACAGCGCTGGGCTTGTCCCCAGGTGACAACGCCACGCAGAGATGCGTATACCAGGTGTCCAAAGAGCCTGGGAACATAGGGAAGACATTTAAGCTATTTATTATACTTTTCCAGCTTTATGACGGGAGCTACAGTTTTAAATTTAGAGGATCGTTGCGTGCAAAGATGGACACTGAAGGGAAATAGCCTGAGCGTGTGGCTTTGAAATGTAGCATATTGTATAAAAACGCGTTCCCTGGGCCTCCGCTTTGCAGACACCCTGGACCCCGGTCTCTTTCCTAAGGGCTGCTCTGTCTTCCAGTCCACTGCTTAGCTGACTGCCTGGGGCCAGCCTCAAGGCGTGTGCAGGCTCGGGAATAGTGCAGGACACATTCCTACACAGAATGGCTAGGCCAAAGGACAGTTCTTTGAAGCTCTAATAGTATGGCCAAAGTGCCTTCTTAAGTTGTACCCATTTATGGGGGTTACAAGCCTTGTGGGTGTCCCTGCCCGTCACAAAGCAGGACCTCCTAACAGCAGGTCCAGAGGACAGGGACTGGCTTCTCTCTCTTTGTCTGCGTTGTGTCCCCAGTGGTGAACATCATGCAGAAGGAAGGACGGGGCTCTGCAGAGCGAAGTCGAGGGTGCCCCCAGGCAAATGTCGAGGGGCAGAGTGGGTTGTATCTGACTGAGACAATGTCATCAGCTGATAGTGGCTCTTTCTCCCTCAGACAGTGCACAGACCATTAGCAGGCAGGTGGCCCTGGGATTGGGGGTCTGTCTGGCCATCATCCCCCTGGCATTCCTGGGGGTCAAGCTTCATCACAGGTGAGCTCCTCACAGTGCCCCCCCCCTCTCCCTCAGCCCATTCCAGAGAATAACTCCAGTTACTCAGCCCTGTGGGCCCCTGCTGGCCCACCCCACGGGGCCTTGTCCTCATTCCCCTGCTCCTCACTGAGCGGATCTTTATTTCTTAGCTGGAAGAGGATTCAGAGCCAGCAAGGGCTTCAGGAAAATTCCAGTGGGCAGAGCTTCTTTGTGAGGAATAAAAAGGTAGGATGGAAGAAAGAAAGAAAAAGAGCCAGGGCAGACCTTGAAGCCAAGCAAAGAAACCAAGTGAACGGGGCCGACGAAGAGAATGGTGGAGCCGCCCAGCCCAGGGGGAGGGGACGCGGTGGGCAAGGAGGGGTGGGAGCTGGAACCTGGTCTCTCCCGCAGATAAGAAGAGCCCCCGTCTCTGACAGCCCCCACCCCATGGGCTGCTACAATCCGGTGGTGGAAGACTCCATCAGCTACGCGGCTCTGCACTTCCCCTCCGGGGAGCACGACGCACCGAGGACTGGGTACTGAGGGCACCGGGAGGGTGACAGCGGCACCCTGGGAGGGCTGGGGGAGGAAATGCCCGTGTCCTACTGGCCATCCTTGTGCCAAGCCCATGCCAGGCACCACCATATACCCATTTCCTTGCTCCAGCTCCATGACATCCCGCCCCCTTCGGTAAGTAATGGTCTCGGGAACTGGTCCTGGTCCTTCAAGCCAGGGGAACGTACGCCCGAGTCAGTCTCCGTCACCGAGGTTAAGACTGTGGTACTCGCTCATTGACACAGTAGCGCCGGCTGTGAGCATTAGGCATACATATGGAGGGCTGAGGGGCTGGGGTGCTCTTGGGGTCTAGGGGAGTTAAAGGAAGGGGCAGAGTTCATGAGAAATGCTTCACTTGTGGTCATCTCTCTGCCCTCCCTCTCAGGGGTGCAGGGACCCCAGAGGCACGGAGACCTTCCCTACATAGGGACAACACGGTCACTTACTCCGTGGTGCAGAAGCATCAAGTGGTAAGAGGGCAAGGCAATGGAAGGCAGGGGCGTGGGGGGCCCGGTCTCCCCTGTGAGCCCCAGATGGGGAGACTTGGGAGGACTCAGTGATGTCAAAGGCCGGGCGCAGGGCGGGCACCTCCCCATCGGAGACACCAACGGCACAGACAAGAGTACTCCCGCCCGGGCTCCCGATGCCCCAGGGCGTCAAGGAGAGGGTGGGCAGACAAAGAGGATGGTGGGGGGCTGGGGCGCACGACGCCAAGCTGACCACGACGTGGCTTTCTCAGGGCGACTACGAGAACGTGACCCCACGTGTGCTGGAAGACGATGGGCTACATTACTCGGAGCTGGTGCACTTGGGGTTTGGGGAGCGGCCTCTGAGACAAGAGGAAGTGGAATACGTGACCCTCAAGCGCTAAAGGGTCAAACTGGCTGAAGTGGAGGTGCCTAGGGGACAGGATGGTCACGGGCCCTGCACCCCTGCTGCTCAGCTGAGAAGTTACACGGTCTCCCCTTACACACGCATGCACACAATGCACACGCATACATGCACACACACGAGTGCACACATGTACAGTTACTGCACCCCAGTCGGTACGGAGAACTTTGGGCATGGCCCAGAGACAGTGTTCCCTCTCGGCATCGGTAACCTCGACCATCCAAAAGGCCTGGCCCCGGTCCTATCCCACGTGCCTTCCCTCCCAGAAACGTACCTGAACACCTAGCCTGCACTGTACAAATCCCCCTGCCTGTCCCCAGGCGTCTGCCACCACCCACCCCCTCCAAAACCCGCCCCCTAGTTTTTCTTCTTCCCCTCCCTGTCCCCTTGACACTCCCTCCCACCCCCCTCTTATAACCCCACTCACTGATCTTACGCCTAATTCTGCCTCTGGAGCAAAGTCCGGAGAAAGGGACAGAAATGAGGAAGGAAGAGGAACCACGGGGCGCGGGTCCCCCTCTGTGTCTGAGAGGCATTGCGTGGCGGATGACTAAGCTGCGGCCCTCTCATCCTCTGGAGACAGAGGTGTGAACAAACATGGAACAGTCACAACGTTGCACAATAAAAACGGCTCGAATATGACCTCAGAGAACCAGTGAGCTATTTCTGTGGAGTCAGAGTAGGGCGGGACGTGGGGGAGGCTTCGTGGATGGGGCTTGGGGAGAAGGGCTAGGAGTCAAGGTAAATTCACGATCAGCTCAGCAGACTGAAGGGTCTGTTATCTTGTTGCAGAGAGTACACTGGGCGGGACTCTGAGTTTGCCTCTCCTACCTAACTAGCCGAGCCCTCTTAGGCCAAGTTCACCAGCTTATCGGGGCCTCAGTTTCTTCCTCTGTAAAATGGAGATGCCACCACCTCCTACACAGGTGCTTGGAGACAGGAAGTGATGTAGAATCTTACATTGCTGGAGTCCCGTTACAAGAAGCCTTAGGCAAGAGCCAAAAGTCCCCCAAACCGAATTTCTATCTTATTTGCATCTCTTGAAGAATGCAAAATGGGGAAGCCCGTTTGTGACTCACAGCTATGCTCAAAAGTGACCCCTCCGAGGTCTTTCACCATCCACAGCTGCCAAAGACCGTCTCGAGGGCCAGCTGCCTCGAGAAACCTCATAGCCTTCCTACCTCCCACCACCGCCCCCGCGGTTATGTTCACTAATTTCCACTTTCCAGTTAGGTCGGCTTCCCCTCCACTTGTCAGGTTTGATCTCTCCCCACCCAATCGCCTGCGTCTGCCAGTGGGCAAAGGCCCCTTCTCCGCGGGAGCAGGAACACGTGGCCAATCCATCTGGTTTGCTCAATACCAGAAAGCAGGGGAGGGAAGAGGAGGGAAGAGGAGGCTCTGGTCACCCTCGGAATTATGCAGAGTTGAGGCACTGATGTCTTATTCCTGTGTCCCCAGTTTGAATTCCTGTGAGCCTCACAGGAGGAAGAAGAGATTTAAATGAGAAGGGAAGGGTTTGGGGTGTTCTGCATTGGAAATGAGGTACAGTGTCATTTAGCCATTCAACCGTTCCTTCAGCAAACATTTACTGAGCACACGTCCGTGTATCCAGCACAGAGCCAGATATTGAGGTACAAAAAGATATGCCATAGTCCTAATCTGGGGATCTCTGGGGTGCCCAAAGGGTTTCAGGGCGGGATCCCCTTTGAAGAGGCTGGAGTCAGTCCTGAGCCCGATGAGGCCTGGCACAGGCTTCCTGGCAACCAGTGGGTTCCTTTCCATCCAGTCCCTGAGCCTCGCTGCTGATGTAAATCCACTTCGTGACCAATTGACCAAGAGATGTGGCCATCAACAGGCCCTGCTGAGGCGTGCACAGCAGGTGACCACAGACAGCCCTCTCCCCAGCCCCAGATGGCACCACCCTCCCGGGGAGCCGACCCTCGACTGTGCAACTCCCTGAGCCGCCACTATGTGTACGAAAAGCAGCAAACAAAGCACACAGAAATGTCGGCCCTCGCTGACCAGCATCCTAGCAGGGAGCCAGCAAATCTGATGTCTCGGGCAGTGAGGGCGCCGAATAAACACGACACCGGAGGCGGACAGGACTGGAGCAGGGAGGGGCCTGTTTGATGGAGGGATCAAGGAAGGCCCTCGAGGAGGGGGCACCGGCCAGAGGCCTGAACCACCAGGTGGCCGGCCCCGAGGAGAGATCTTAAAAGACCTGTCGTCTTCCTTCGCACCCAGCTTTGCTCTTTCCCCAGAAGCTTGGTGCTGGAGGTGAAACTGCACCCCTCTGGCTTTTGCCCTTGGCCCCCTGTGTCTCCCAAAGAGAACGCACGGTACCACAGGTGGCAATTCTACATCCCAGGAGAAGGACTGAGCAACAGCCATGGGACTTAGAAGGGAGGCCACCAGGAATCAGGTTAGTGACTGAGGTAGAGAAAGGAAACTAGCCGATTTATTTAGAGGGGGTCGTTGATGTGCAGCCCTCTACCTGAAGCCTGGTGAGAAGCACTCCCAGAAAACCACCCGAAGAAGCAGCGTATTTACTTCTTTAGGGTGACTTGGAGAGTGGGAGGGGCACAGTGGCTCAGTGACCCCCACCCCTCCCCCCACCAAAGAAAACTGAAGTCAAGAGGGTGTGTTGTCAGTCTGAGGCAGCAGAGACACACAGACAGGGAGACACATGCACACTGAGAGACAGAGAGACAGAGAGCCACAGAGATAAACTCAGGCCACTTTAACTACGGAGGAAGGCTTCCTGGCAGGGCCAGGCGACCCCAGCAGGAGGTAAACGGCCAAATTCCCAGAGTCTGGGAGAGGAAAGCTAAGCAGCCAGCCGGGGTACACACTGTGCTGACCAATGTCTCTACAAGTGCCCAGGGCAGAGCCCCCTTTGACAGACGCGCAGGCAAGAGACGCAGAGTGGAGAGCACAGCCCGGCTACTCCAGTGTTGCCAAACGAGACCGTCTCTCCTCCTCCCCTCCTGCCAACGCTGGAAGGTCAGAAACGAGGTCATCGGGCTGAAGGGAAAGGAGAGGGAGGGGGGAGATGGAGCAGTGCTCTCCTCCCAACACGTGCCCACCTGTGCGTGCGGGGGCGGGGTGGGGTGGGGGAGGCGCAGGCCATGCCCTGAAATAGTTACCCCTCCTGTGAGCGACCAGGTGGAGACAGTGAGGCTGACTACGGTGGCTGCAGGCTACAGGCTGCCCAGGAGCTCCTCCGGGACCAGAGAGGACTCGGCCCCCAGAGCAGGTGTGGACAGGCTGGGACAGGGGCCGGGGGACACAAGCTGTGTCCTGGTCACACGTCAGTCACCCACCCTGCCCCTTCAGGGTGCTGGCCATGCACGCCTCACTCTACCCAGTTCTGCCCTCTCCCCCTCCTGTGTTCACGTCACCCTAGACCCTCACCTCCTCCATCTGGCCTCAGCTCCAGCAGGAGATGCCCCATTAGCTGCTCACCCAGGCTGCAGGTGCCTCGGGCTAATTGTCCTGCCTCCCCACCCTCTCTCCCTTCCAGCTCACTGCCCATCCCGGGCCCTCCCTCAGCCGCAGCGGGGCTCCTGAGCCTCAGAGACGTCGTGGGCAGCGCTGAGAGGTGAGTTCTTCCTTCTGCTCTCCTCTCTGCGCCAACAGTTACTCCCCAGACTCCCAGATCCCCCCGCTGAGGGTGCCCCTGAAGTCAGCTAAGGATTCCCAGCGACAAGCCGGCGCCTGGCTTCCCTTGGGCTCTCTGCCGGGGACCCCCTTTGCCTGCCTTTTCCCACAACCTCCACCCTACCCAAACCCCAACCTCTCCTTCCGTTGGCTAGGAGTCGCCACCAACCCTCCACGGCTGGCAGGGGGTCCACGACGGGGGGGGGGGGGGGGACAGCTACTTCTCTTTGCTGGGAATGGGGGTCAGGGCAGAGGAAGCAGAAGTCGAACTTCCTTGTCTAAGAAGAGTGTGCACTGAGACCCAACTCTGTTTCGAATTCTCTCCCCAGACTCTCGGAAATCAAGCAGCTTTTGCTCTCGGGGACCCGCACACGTTCGTCCTGTCTTCTCCTGTTAATCCTCGACCACGTGCTTCGTTTGAAGAGGGGGTACAGTGGAAAGAAAGCAGAGGGCTGAGGGCGAGCAGTCTCGCTTCTAACCCAGGCTCCCCTGCTAACCGGCTGCCACCTCCTCCGGGCGCCTCCCTCTCCAGATGGCTTCTAAGACCCTGAGCAGTGTGTGACTCAGGAACTCCCCCCCCAGGCCGAGATCTGAGGGCAGGGAGCCGGCTAGGCCAGGGGCCCCATGGACCTGCCCCCCCAGCTCTCCTTTGCTCTCTACGTGGCTGCCTTCGCCCTGGGCTTCCCGCTCAATGCCCTGGCCGTGGGGGGCGCCGTGGCCCACGCCCGGCTCCGCCTCACTCCCAGCCTGGTCTATGCCCTCCACCTGGGCTGCTCAGACCTGTTGCTGGCAGCCTCTCTGCCCCTGAAGGCGGTAGAGGCCCTGGCCTCGGGAGCGTGGCCTCTGCCAGCCTCCCTCTGCCCCCCCTTTTCCCTGGTCCACTTCGCTCCGCTCTATGCGGGCGGCGGCTTCCTAGCTGCCCTGAGCGCTGGCCGCTACCTCGGAGCCGCCTTCCCCTTGGGCTACCAAGCCGCCCGGAGGCCCTGCTACTCCTGGGGGGTGTGTGTGGCCATATGGGCCCTTGTCCTCTGTCACCTGGGGCTGGTGTTTGGGTTGGAGGCTCCGGGAGGCTGGATGGACAATACCACCAGCTCCCTGGGCATCAACACACCAGTCAACGGCTCTCCGGTCTGCCTGGAGGCCTGGGACCCAGCCTCGGCGGGCCCTGCGCGCCTCAGCCTCTCGCTTCTGCTCTTCTTTCTGCCCCTGACCATCACCGCCTTCTGCTACGTGGGCTGCCTGCGGGCGCTGGCCAGCTCAGGGCTGAGTCACAGACGGAAACTAAGAGCCGCCTGGGTGGCAGGTGGGGCGCTGCTCACACTGCTGCTCTGCCTGGGACCCTACAATGCCTCCAACGTGGCTGGCTTCCTGCACCCCGACATGGGAGGCCGCTGGAGGAAGCTGGGGCTCCTCACGGGCGCTTGGAGCGTGGTGCTCAACCCATTGGTGACCGGCTACTTGGGAGGGGGTGTTGGCCGGGGGACATCCTGTGTGACAAGAATGAAAGGGGGTACCTCTCAGAGGTAGTAGCCTCTGCTGGGGAGAAGGAGCACGCAGCAGGGCCCAGCTGCTTCTCCCGGCCTCTGGTGAGGGCCGTGCCAAAGCAACGGCGAGGTGGCCTGGCTTGGCTGCACCCCTGGACCCGCCTATGGGAAGAACTGAGCCTGGTAAGACAGCGTCCCAGGCAGAGAGAAGAATGGAGGCCAGGAGCTGGGGTGCAGGAGGAAGGTAAGTTAACCTCTGCACACAACAGCATGACTCTCCACATCTGTCTCCTCTTCTAGGTCTTTACCTGCCTGTCTGCCAGTGTGCTCTGGGCAGAGGCCTTTTACTGGGGGGGGGTGGGGGGGGACGTTTGCTTCTAATGTAGAGGAACCGCCACTCTGATGATACGCTTTGGGAGATGCTCCTCCAAAGCCATTTCCTAGGAAAGAACCACTTAATTTCTGCGTGCGAGAGAAGGCAGGAGGCAAAATAATGACGCTGTGATACCACTGGAAAGTCACAAGGGGGCAGCACTAGAACTGTGAACAGGAAGTTGGGAGGAAGGGATGCTTCAGCGGGGGAAGGAAAATATTAGCAACACCAGAAATAGTCGCAAACAGATAGAGAGGCACTGATACGTGACAGTCACCACGCCAAATGCTTTACAAGTGTTGTCTCATCTCATCCTCACACATCCTTTGGTTAACCATGCAGCCGTTCAGGTGGGCAGGTTGCTCATTGCATGAGGGTGCCAGTCAGAGGGGCAAACACTGAATTCTACTGTGCTTTGCTCACTAAGCCATGTGCCTGGCACAGCGGGCCCTCCGTCCAGGGGGAGCAGCATCTTGTTATACTGTGAACGAAAACACCACCCACTCCTCAAACAGTACCCCTTGGGGCACAGCAGGTCTGTGCTCGCCTGGAGGGGGTACCTTTTCCTAATGTGCAGAAAGGCGCTGCTTGAGTTAGCTGCGGTTCTGAAGGCATTATCGTCTTTATTTCCCGGGGCCCTACTGCAAGGAAGGAAATGGGGGAGATCCCTCAAGGCAGGACCCCAAGGGTCAGGGGACCTTTGGAAAACTTAGGGTATTGGGTTAATGCCTAGCCTTGAGGTCTGTTTTGTGAAGGTGAGTGGTGGCACCCTGAACCGACAAGGAAGCGGGCAGAGGAGAGAGGCCATACAGGAGACAGGTACTTGGGCATCTGCTCTGAGAGGCAGGGTTAGGAGGCAGATCTGTTGATGATGTGCCATGAACAGACGAGGGCACCCAAAGCGGTAGCTACGTGCCCAGCACGTGAGAACTGGTTTATACAAGTTCTCTCTTCATGCTTAAATGTCTACAGGGGCAAGGGATTTTGTTTTCTTTTCTGATGTAACCCCGGCCCTTAGATGAGAGCCTAGCACATAGCAGGCTCTCAGTAAATGTCGGCTGCATGAGCGCGTGCTCACAACAGCCCTCCAAAGAAAGTTTTTAAAATATATATATATATATATTTTTAATTGATTTCAGAGAGAAGAAGGGAGAGGGAGAGACAGAACATTGGTAATGAGGGAAACATCAATTGACCGCCTCTTGCACGCCCCCTACTGGGGATCGAGCCCACAACCCGAGCAGGTGCCACGACCGGAAATCAAATTGGGGACCTCCTGGTGTATAGGTTGATGCTCAACCCCTGAGCCACACTGGCCAGGCCCAAAGAAAGTTTTACTATCTGTTTTATAAATATGGAAACAGGCCAGAGAAGTAGAGGAACTCGATGGAGGCTCTGTGGGAAGCAGAAACAAGTGTGTTCCCTGCACATGGTGACACCAGAGAATTTCACTAAAAGCTCAGGTGACCTCACTGCCCCTCCCATAATGCCGGGGACTAGTCTCTCTCCCGCTGCTCCAGAGCCACTACTTCCGGTCACTTGTGCCTCTTCCTCTTGGGGAAATCTCAGTTCCTCCCTGGGAACAGGATCTGCCCCGGGCATCCTCTCCTGACCCTTGCCCCTTGAGCCCTAAACCTTGCCCCAGTTCCCGCAGTAGGTCAAGCCCGTGCACCCGCCATTCCTTCTGGCCGCAATGCTTCCTCCGTGGCTCTCCGCCTCCCATTGTCCTCCACCACTCAGCCCCTCCAGCCCCCGTTCCTACACGTAAGCACCACGGCAGCAAAAACTTTGTCCTGCTCACTGCTTACTGGCGATCGCAGCTTATTCGAGATCAGATTTACATATCGTAAAATTCACCCATGCAATGACTTTTAGTAAATGGACTGAGGTTGTGCAGCGATCACTATAATCCAATTTGGAGCATGTCCTCACCCAGTAAGACCCCTCCCGCTCGGTTCCAGTAAATCCCGACTCCGCCCCCATCCCTCAGGCAACCAGTCATCCGCCTGCTGTCTCGATCAATGTGCCTGTTCTGGACATTTTATATACATGAAAGTGTACAATACAGAGTCTCTTACAGCTGGCTTGTTTCACTTAGCATGTTTTAGAGGTCTGTCCATATGACGGGACACACGGCCATTTCACGCCTCTTACTGTGAGTTCGTGTTTCATCATATGGCCATATGCCACCCAGTTTATCATTGACTCGCTGACAGGCCGCCAAGTGGCGTTTCCTTTTTTTGGCTGATGCTATTTTGAACATTTATGAGCAAGACTTTGTATGGACATACATTTTGATGTTTCTTAGCTAGATAACTATAAGGGCATTGGGTCCCATGATACGTTGAAGTTTACCTTTTTAAGAAACTGTCCAACTCCTTTTCAAAGGGACTCCACCACTTTGTATTCTCACCAGCAACGTGGGAGGATTCTTGTTTCTTCACATCCTCGCCAACACCTGATAGACTCGCTGAGAGCCATTCCAGTGGCGTGTGAATATAATGGTATTCATTGTACTCCACACATATTTGAATGAATGATCTCTGAACCCCAACCCTGAAAGGACACCTGGAAATCTGCTGAATTGTCTATTGAGATCTTCCCCCGGGATCCCCTCCCCCAATCTCTGAAGCTGGGCAGACTTGGGTTTGCATTCTGGTGGTGATACTGAACAAGGGGTGTTACCTGGAGCAAGTCACTTCCGCACCGAGGCACCAGGATTTCAAGACATCATGGTGATACCCTGAGAAGCAGAGTATCTGCTATAGATGATGTGCCCCCTAAAAGGTAGCTGCTACCATCACCGCCACCATTATTATTATTATTAATATCATCATTACTCTCACCCCAGAGACAAGCCCATACTAGTGACTGGGATGATGGCAAGTAACATCTGAGCTTTTTTTAAAAAATATTTTTTCCTTTATTGATTTTAGAGAGAGAAAGAGAGAGGGAGAGAGAGATAGAAACATCGACGAGAGAGAGCATTGATTGGCCACCTCCTGCATGCCCCCCACTGGGGACCGGACCCACAACCTGGGCATGTGCCCTGACCGGGAATCGAACCGGCGACCTCTTGATGCATGGGTGGGTCGACGCTCAACCACTGAGCCACACCGGCCGGACCCTTCTGAGCTTTTGACATGTATTAATGCTTTAATCTACACAACAACATGTGAGACTGGTACTATGATGATCTCTGCTTTCGATGAGAACGCAGAGATTCAGAGAGTTCAGTCATTTGCCCCACATCAGAATCAGTAAGCGACAGAGCCGACGCTGAACCCAGGCCACCCTCTCCGTCACTGCCTCTCGCTTGCCCTTCCGAGGCACCCTGGGTGAGTGCCATTCTAGAGGAGCAGATAAGATACAAGTGGAGAATCAAGGAAGGGAGGATGAAGCCTGTCGGGCTCGATGGGCCCCCGGCGGAGGCTGCCCTAGGAGCCAGCAGTGGAATTTGCTCTTTATTTTGCATGCCATGCAGCTCTGCTCCAGGGGCTCAAGGCCTCTTTTGCACAATGGCTCCACAGTGAGTGATGTCATGGGCACTGCCTGATCTTTATCAGTTCTGTCACATTAATATTAACCGCACTCACCCTGGAGGAGCCAGCAAGGTCCTGAGCTGCAGAGCCCTGGGGATCTGGAGTTAGCAGGTGAGAGCCGGGCCCTGCGTGACTCCGTGGAGGAGCAGGGTGGTGCTGGCTTTCCTGCGGGACGGGACAGGAGCCGGCGGGCTGACCCCGCCGGGGAAGAAACCCCAGGGGGCGTGGAAGTGGAGGTAGCCACGGTGTTCTCTGTGGATGGTGGAGAGGCTGCCGGTTCAAGACCTCCACCCACACTGCCATCCCTCTCCCGGTCTGTCTCACCATCTCTCTCTCTCTCTCTAGTGGCCAGCGCCATGAACGCAAGCCTGGACCCGTCCTCCGTCCACGGCCATCCCTGGCTGTCCTTCTCCGTGTACCTCTTCACCTTCCTCGTGGGGCTCCCCCTCAACCTGGTGGCTCTGGTGATCTTCGCCCGCAAGCTGCAGCACCGCCCGGTGGCGGTGGACGTGCTCTTGCTGAACCTGACGGTCTCCGACCTGCTGCTGCTGCTCTTCCTGCCCTTCCGCATGGCGGAGGCGGCCAGCGGCATGCGCTGGCGGCTGCCCTTCACCCTCTGCCCCTTGTCCAAATTCGTCTTCTTCACCACCATCTATCTCACTTCCCTGTTCCTAGCCGCGGTGAGCGTCGAGCGCTTCCTGAGCGTGGCCTACCCGCTGTGGTACAAGACCCGGTCAAGGTTGCGACAGGCCTGCCTGGTCAGCGGGGCCTGCTGGCTCCTGGCCACGGCGCACTGCAGCGTGGTCTACACCACCGAGCTCTTGGGGAACTCTTCCCACAGCACCTGCTACCTGGAATTCCAGGACGACCAGCTGGCCATTCTCCTGCCTGTTCGGCTGGAGATGGCCGTGGTCCTTTTCGCGATACCCCTGCTCATCACCGGCTACTGCTACAGCCGCCTGGTGTACCTGCTCGGTCAGGGAGCCATCCGCCGGCGGAGGAGGGTGGCGGGGCTGGTGACGGCCACGCTGCTTAATTTCCTTATCTGCTTTGGGCCCTACAACGTGTCCCATGTCGTGGGCTACGTCCAGGGTAAGAGCCCAACGTGGAGAACTTACGTGCTGCTCCTCAGCACCCTGAATTCTTGTGTGGATCCCTTGGTTTACTACTTCTCGTCGTCTGGGTTCCAAGCTGACTTTCAGAGCCTGCTGAAGAGGCTGATTGGAGTCTGGGTTTTTTGGGGGCCGGAGAGATGCTTGAAATGGAAGAAGAAGGAGGAGGATTCACTTCAGGAACTGTAGTGGGTACGAGGAGTCTTTCAAGGCATCTCACCCACAGGGCAGTTCCCAGTTCAAGTCAGGAGGGACCGGGGAGCGGCAGGCAGGGGACCCATGCAGCCGGGCAAGGCAGACACCAGCCTCCCTGAGCGTGTGCGCACCGGAGCCCGATTCTTATCTCGCCACACTTCCCTCCTTGCCCACCTGCCCACGTGCTGTGGGTTAGACCCTGGGAAGAAGTCGAGGGGGGAGAGAGCTCTGGAGAAACGTGAGCTCCCCATGGCAGCAGGCCAGGTCCTGCGCTTTTCTGGGCGTAAAAGAGGAATTGAGAGCCACGTCCAGGGTCCGAGGGAGCTGCCCAGTGACTCGGGACAGGACAGAAGAAGAATCAACCCTTCGGAGCCACTGACCCGGCAGGTCGGGAGTGGAGAACGCGGGACTCTGGGCACGAAGGAGCATCCTGCTCGCGCGTGGACTTCTCCAGAAAGTTTTCATTGTTCAGTAAATTCAGATTTTCAGAGACATGTATGAAAAATGACAGAACAAAAATGACCCAAATAAATTCGATAGCACGCAAAAGACAGTGGTCTTTCCTCGTTCTGTTTTCGTACGGTGCGTGGGTGTCCGTTGGAAGTGGCGGAGGGAAAGCTAAAACGCCTAGACTCAGAAAGGAAAAGACGAGCCCTGGCCAATTTGGCTCAGCGGTTAGAGCGTCGGCCTGCGGTCCGGAGAGACCGGGGTTCGGTTCCCGCTAAGGGCACGTACCTCGGTTACGGTTTGTCCCTGGCCCTGGTTGGTCGTGCGGGTGGCAGCCACTCGATGTGTCCCTTCACGTCGATGTTTCTCTCTCTCTCTCCCTTCCTCTCTCTCCCTCCCACTCTATCTGAACAAAAAATGGAAAAATATCCTCGGGTGAGGATTAAAAAAAAAAAAAAAGAAAGGAAAAGACGAAACAGGAGATGCCTGCATGCTGGGAGAAGATCTGGGTTGGAGGAATAACAATAGTAGTTGACAATCCTTCTTCAGCCCTCTCCATAACCACGTGGCTGGTAATATTTCTAATGTACAGATGAGGGAATGGGCCAGAGGGGTGAAGTCTCTTCCCTGAGATCCTGTAGCCAGTAAGGGATTAAGACCAGACCGGAAGGTGGGATCAGCTGACTTTGAAACCCACGCTCCGCCCTCTCCTGTTCTGCCACCAGCCAGCAGTGTGTTATCCACAGTGACCAGGCCAGTCCATCGTCCAGGGTCAGTGAGGCCGTCTGGCCAGGACAAATATCAACTGACCTCAGTGAGAAACAGGATGACATACAAAACAGGTCGACTGTCTGTACTGATGCTTCCTTATCCCAGTAAAGGAAGCGTCTCGAAAAAATAAATTAAGATTAGTCAGCACAGTTGGCTTGAAGGACAGAGGTATGTCCTTTTTTTTTTTTTGTATCCTCACCCGAGGACATTTTTGCATTTGCCCTCAGGTAGAGCAGGAGGGAGAGAGGGAGGAAGAGAGAGAGAAACATCGATGTGAGAGAGACACATCGATTGGCTGCCACCCACACGACCCCATTGGGGCGGGGACAAACGTGCCCCTAGCAGGAACCGAACCCGGGTCTCTCTGGTCCTCGGGCCAAAGCGCTAACAGCTGAGCCAAACCGGCCAGGACAGAGGTATGTTCTGAAGAGCTATTTTTATTGAGAGGTAATCGTTTAGTAACTTTCCTTTTTCTCATGATGGGTAGGACATGAGAAACAGTTGGTCAGGGCCTCTTCGGCCAGCAAGGCAACCAGAGACATGCAGGCAGCTTCAGTTCAAAAACACTGAGCACCTACCGTGTACAGAGAGGAAGGCAGGAGTTGTCTGTCTGTCCCATGGCTCATTTGTCTGTCCCAAGGCTCAAGCCTGGTGGCTGCTGAAATGTTACCGTGAAAGTCTGTGTGGTTCAGAAAGGGAACAGAGGTGAATCCTGTGACTCCCGAATGTGTAAGAAGGACTAAGGCGGAGGGGAGTTGAAAACCCTACATTCTAAAGAGAGCCACGGAGAACAGTCTGACCCTTCCCCCAGAGGTCCTGTGGGGAAATAAGAGGCAGCCTAGGGCCTAGCTGCTGCCAAGCATCACTCAGCACCCCGCTCCCCCGCTCCAGTCTGTATAAGCTAAAGACTAAATGGGGAGGAGGAAACGCCATCAGAGGCTTGGGCAGTCATGAGGTGGTGGCGAGGGGAGAGAGACAGCATTTTCACTCTCTCTCAGAAGCCAAGGGAAAGAGGTGCTCAGAGAATAGAGGGTGTGTTCCGGGACTGCTGCCCTGTGCCCATCTAAGCAGTCACAGGAGACTGGTGGAGAGATGGCACGGAGCATAGGTGCGGGTAATGGGGCATCATGCCACCTGGCAGAGTAAGTTAGGTGCGAGTCTCTCCTGGGTGAGGGGCCTGCAGTTACGAGGGGAACTCCTAGGGGTGTGGGAAGAGGTCAAACCAGGTTGGATCTACCAAGACAGAGGTCGGAGGAACTCAATTCTAGCTGCAAAAGAGAGCCCACCTTTGGGCACCTGACTCACAGTGGACACCAAAAGCTACTCAGTATTAGCTGAAGTACCTGTTCTCAAACATTTTCGTATCATTGTTCCCTAAGATATTTTTTCCTACTTAGCACCTTCCTCTCCTTACCCATGAAATGTTAATGCAACAGATATACTCTATATCTGTTTATGGGTGTAACACTTTGGAAGGTTACAAACCACTATAAGATTTTTTTTTTGCTCTCCCAGAACTAATTTTCACTTCTTTTGGGGAGCAATCTTGCCTCACTGAGAATGCACAAGTTAGAGAAATGGTTGCACCCAGTAAAGTGATAAAGCCTGTGTCACGTAACTGTACCCAACAAAGTTAGGTTTATTATCTCGCTGGAGCAAAGGAGACCACATTCCAGAAGAAGTGTGGGGCACCTCACACAGGAAGGGGCGGGGCTACTGTAGAATTTGAGGTAAGAGTGATGTGTAGGTGGAGCATCAGATAGGCTCAGAGCAAAGCAGGGTTCCACGTAAAGACATCGATACGAGGCCTGGGCTGAGAAGCAGAGTCCGGGTCCTATTTCTTTGGAAATACAAAATAAAGACAGAGGTTGAGGTTTGCATTTGAACGCTCCTTCTCTGAAGCTCTGGGGGCTGAATGACAGGCCTGCTTCTCAGAATCACAGGCTCCAAATAGCAGTGTGATGTTTCATTCTTACTAATATGATGTCAAACAGTCAAGGCTGCTCAGCCATATAATTTTGTTAATGAATAAAGTAAGTTTTTGTCCAGCCAGTGTGGCTCAGTGGTTGAGCGTCGACCCATACACCAAGAGGTCGCCGGTTCGATACCTGGTCAGGGCACATGCCCAGGTTGTGGGCCTGATCCCCAGTGCAGGGCATACAGGAGTGGCCAATCGATGTCCTCATCAATGTTTCTATCTCTCTCCCTCTCCCTTCCTTTCTTTCTAAAAATAAATCAATAAAGAAAAAAATATTTTAAAATTAAATAAAGTAAGTTTTTAAAGGTTTACAAAAAGAATTGATTGATGGCCAGGAAGTAGAAGGGGTTCTTCCATCCTAGAAGGAAGGGTCTCCCTTCACTAAAAACTAGCCCTGGCAGGTTTGGTTCAGCGGTTAGAGCGTCTGCCTGTGGTCCAGAGAGACCTGGGTTCGGTTCCCGCTAAGGGCACGTACTTCGGTTGCAGTTTGTCCCCGGCCCTGGTTGGTCGTGTGGGTGGCAGCCACTCGATGTGTCCCTTCACGTCGATGTTTCTCTCTCTCTCTCCCATCCCCTCTCTCCCTCCCACTCTATCTGTACAAAAAATGGAAAAATATCCTCGGGTGAGGATAAAAACTAGAGCAGCACAATGCGGAAGGACAGGAGGAAGCCTAGCCTGAACCCATCCCCCCACCGCTTCCCTGGGCCACAGGTCAAGTCTCAGCGTATAGGACAGGGAGGTGGCTAGAAGTTTTAAATCACCAAGTGTGACCAGAAGCCTAGTAAAGCTACCCAGGAAGTCATTATGAAACCCAGCCCGGATGGTTCCCTGCAGCCTGGCTGAAGGCAGTGAGTGGAGAGACCACCGTCGGCTTGTGCATGACAAGCTGGGACTATTCATAAAGCGATGTCAGTCAGAGGAGCAGGTGGCAGGCGGGAAGCGGAGGGGACGCGAGGCCGACTTGCTGCCTTCTCCCAAGTTGAATGTATCACCTGCGGCCAGGGCCTTTGGATACTTCAGCAAGTGGCCTCTCCATTTGCCTATGTACCCGGTGGGGAAGCAGGAGAGGTAAATCTGCCTCAACTGGATCCTGGAAGGGGGCAAAACTAGAGCAGGTCAAGGTCGGGGGAGGGGGAACAGAGGTGAACAGTTGGGAGTGAGCAAGAGGCCCGAGAGCCTGCAAGTTGGTTGCAAGAATCATCCAAAAGGAGGAAGCAGAGCAGCAATAAAAGTAGGAAAGGGATGTGGGGGGAAAGTCAGGCCATAGATTCTGAAAGAGGAGAAGGAGGTGGGAGACAGAATCTGGGTGGGGTAAAAATAGTGATATAATGTGAGAAAGTGCTCAACATTTTTTTTTTTTCCCTTTATTGATTTTAGAGAGAAAGCAAGGGAGAGGGAGAGAGAGATAGAAACATCAATGAGAGAGAACATCAATTGGCCACCTCCTGTACACCCCCACCAGGGATTTAGCCCACAACCTGGGCATGTGCCCTGACTGGGAATCGAACCGGCGACCTTTTGGTGCGTGGGTCGACGCTCAACGACTGAACCACACCGACCAGGCAGCACTCAACTTTCTAACCTTCCTCTCTCTGACAGGACTGTCTCTACTTTAAAACAAAACAAAACAAAACCCCAAGCAATGCAGGTAATTGTGGCCCCGAAAACCTTGCAAGGGCTGTGAGAAGCCTGCCGACTTCCTTTAGGCCAGTTCTGAAAAGCAATCCATATGGAGGGAGATCAAAGCATCAAGATGCTGGCTCTTGTTATGGAAAAAGGATCACATTCCAGAAAAATA